GCGGCTAACTGCGCTGTTAATTCCTTCAAGCATCCTTAGCTACAACTATATATATGTTTGTCTGTGTGCATCCCTATATATATTGTATATACTTGATATATATACTTTTCAAGTAGATGTTTTTATTAGCTAAATGGACAGTTTGTAATTCTTGAAACTAGCTTAATGTTTAGTTAGCCTCATTATTCATATATGATATCTTTGATCATCTGGTATTTTATAGAACTTTCTTCTAGATTTTCGCCATGCGCCAATAGTTCTTTAATAATAAATATTCATGTATGTGTATATATTTGATCAGTAAAGATATCAGTATGACTCTTAGTCTGACTTTAAGTTAGGAAAAAGGCATCTAGTTTTTTTTTTTTTCCTTAAAGTGACCTTTATGAAAAAACTTTAAGCAGATTTATTTCATTGCATATATATATAATTTATTTGATTCAGTTTTGTACATCAATTTATCTATCTATGATTAAAATGTCTTTAGTTATTGAGAAGGAAAATCTTTATTTAATAGTTGAGAATTGTACAATATTTTCAATCAAATTAATTGAAGAGCTCTAAGTGAATATCCTTAACTGAATTCCACTAGTCTATGTCCCCACTCGCTCTCTCTCTCTCTCTCTCCCTCTCACTCCCTCTCTCTCCCTCTCTCTCTCTCTCTTCTACCAACCTTTTCCTGCCTTCCTCTTCCATTTTCCACCAACAAAATATGTAAACTAAAATCAGCTCTACCAAAATCAAAATCCGCTCCCTCCGAAAAAAAAAAAGATAAGATAGACAGGTCATAAAAAAGGGGCACGCCTACGCCTTAAGCAGGACTCGACACGCGACAGGACACGACACCAATTGACTGCCATATGCACATAACTAAGCAGTTGCTCCCCAAACAGTTGACAACGGACCCGCGAGGCGGCTGAAGCAGAAGGGGGATGGGGGGCACTGGGGCCGCAGTGTTTGGGGCTGCGACCTGATCGTCCGACTGCTGTCGCATTGCATATTTTATGCGGCTGACGGGGCGGAAGGTGGGCGTGGCTGTTTTGTGTGTGTGTGTTTCATTTTATTTTTTTTTATGTTTTTTGCAGTTCTGCTGAATAAACTCCCAACTGAGTCAGCAGAACTGGAACTAGAACTAGGCTGCTAACGGATTATGAGGACATGCCGCAGGACGTCAGGCTTAGTTTTCGAAGTCGCGTACGTGAATAACGGCATGGGCACGTAAAGGAGGAAGAGACTTATAGAGCGAGAGAGAGAGAGGGAGACGGAGAGAGGGGGGGTAAAAAATAGTAACTCGCCTCCATTATGAATAGAAGTAACCGAGTAGAGCAAATGTAGAGCCAAACCGAGCTGAGCTGCGCTGCGCTGCGGACGAATAAAAAGTCGTAATGTGGCAAATAAAAAAAGTTGCGAAACGAAAATGAAATTGTGGCATGCCCGCTGCTCCTGATGATGGTGATTTGTCCTGTCCTGTCCCGTTCTGTTTCTTTTTTTTTTTCTACTTTTTTTTCGTTTGCTTTTGACATTTGCCAACTTTGTGTGGGTTAATAAAATGTTGTATTATGTCATATATACTTTTTTTTTGTTGTTTTCTCTTCTCTCTATTTTTTTTTCGGGTACAGCGCAAATGTAATTGTGGAAAATCTGCTTAGCAGCAGTGGTCGGCGCTGGTTACGTAAACTATTTTTGGTTTAGCTGGCGTGGTTGGTTTTTAGGTGAATGGGCTGACTGCCAAGAGATAATTGGAAAAGTTTTGCGCTTTAGTCATAAATATATAGAGAAAGGCAGAGAGAGGGGCAGCGCGAAAAACGGATCGAAAGGATGATTTGAATGAAATGCGAGATCTGAAATAAGTTAATTTATATAACA